GTTTTCCCTTCTCATTGCTTTGTCCATTTATCCAAGAGCCTTTTAAAAAATTATTATCTGAGGTGATAATTTGTACTCTGATTTGGCATCTGAATTCAGTTACTTAGGTTGAAATTGCCTCATAGGTGTGTGTATATATGCAGGCATATGTATGAAAAAAATCTGCTAACTGCTTGTTTCACATATTGTTCAATGTATCAGGTGAACCATTTGCAGGATTTGATATTGTTGAGGTGATTAGTGCAAACAGATATTTAATGGTTTTGAGTGAATTTTCAAAGAATTGGCTTTGATTGCTCTCTGCAATTCTACAATCAGCATTTTCCTAATTTTCACTACCTCTTGATATGTGAACCTTTCCTTTTAAGAGCAAAACAGCATAGATGTAAATTAATTTACATTTTTATTAGTAAAATTTATAGATGCAAGATTTTACTAATTCAGTTCTGCTTAGCTTGGTTTGAATTTGGAGGACAAAATGAACATGAAGATTGTCAGGACAATGATGTTGGAGTACAATATGCTTTCAGTGTTTCAAAGGACAAATGTAAATAAATTGACCTTAAGTGTGGTGAAAAAGACCTTTAACTGACCTGTTTTAATAACTTGGGTACCCCAAAAAACCTTGACTGTCTTAGGGGTAACTGCTGTGTCAGACTTTGGGTTTATACAGCACAGGAGTTTAACACAGGATCCAATTTATCTTGCTGTGTTTCCATAATTAGCCTGTGTTTGTTGCCATAGCAAGAACAAACTGACAAATCATACAGACAAATCTGACAAATATTTAAAATACAATACTTCTAAAAATGCATGGCTTTGTTTTAACTCATGCTATATAAACATAAAAGTCAGTACTAAGACTTTCTGCCCATATAAAGGCAAACTGAGTCCACAGAAGCTGCTTGGAATTTATACACACAATGATTCATATAATGTGTATAAATGCTGTTGGAATAAGCTGCTTCTGCCACTCCTTCCGCTTCTGAGTGCCTGTGCAAATAATTTTTGAGAAAAAATGCAATTTAAAACATAAGCAAACCTAAACCTTTGAAAATAACTTGTATTTCAACAAATGTCATTGCCTCCTAATATGAAAATGAGACAACTGCCAGTATGAGGGAGATTTAAGAGAGTTTCTTTTAAGCTGGTGGGAGAGGGACACCAACTACGTATTCAGCCATTCTTGTCCCTGGAAGAGGCAGACATGCAATGCAGGTGAATTTGATCTCAAGCTGCATCTCCTAAGGATCACTGGAATCCAGTTCCACGTGTCTGTTATGCTCCCCATAGTCCTCAGCCTCTGTGCTGGTGAAGAACACAGTCAGTGCCAGCCTTGCTGCTGCTGAGGCAGGTTCCATACAGGGAGCTAGCAATGAGCAGCTGAGTTAAACACACTGGTGGAGCAGATATGGGAAATCTGCTGGAGAACTGACAGCAGGGAGGAGCCTGACCCTCCCTGCCTTGCTGGATGGACACAAACTGAGTTCTTGTTCATGTACTGCAGTATTGTGTATGTCAGGGTTTCCAGAGTCTTGGCTCTTTGGATGCACACATCCAAATAGAGAATCCACAGAAGATTATACCCCTTATACCCCTTCATTTTGTAAGATCTGTGCCAGCTGTACCTTCTATAGTCTCTGCCTGACTGCACAAAGGAGTACTTGGTTTGATGTGAAATTTGGTCTGCCTGCTCAGTTCTTTTATATTATTTTATAATTCATCGTAAATATATCTTATCATCATTATATTGTTCGTATTGCTATATTATGCTTATATTTATTATAATAGTATATTAAATTATGGTAAAAAACAGCTGTGTAAATATCAGAGCTGTTTCTAGAGGCTTCCATACAATGACATTACTGTCATTGTGTCCACTACAGGAAATGCAACCCAAAAATTGCCTTTTTTGAAGTTTTTGTTATCAAAATTGAAATCTTCCTAAGGCAGTTTAAGCAGTGCAGAAGAAAATCACTGGGAAGAAACGCGTCACTGTTCCACCATTGGTAAATTTGTTCATTTGGCACTTGCTTGTTTTGCTTCATTTGGGATATTTTTTCACACATATTCTCCTTCAAAACCATTGCATGGAGTTCAAAGACAACATTAAATTTTTTTTCTTACAGAGGATTTTTTTCCCATTATAAATTTAAAAACGCATTGAAAAGAATACTTTTAATCGTGCAGTAGGCTTTTGACAATGTTTTTTACTAAATGATGCGTTGCTAGGAGCAGTGTAAGCATATAATGAAGAATTAGTAGCACTTCTTATTAGTGGACTTTTTAGCTTAGCAATATTAAAGTAGAATTCTACCGATATATGTTACCATAAGGTGATGGGGTAATTTTAAATCCTTGCTTAATGTCATTGATTTGGTCTGTGGCTTCACCAGAGAAGGGAAATTAATTCATTTTGAGGTGCTGGGGAATTGATAATGCTTTGAAAAAATTTTAGTACCATGATTACAGAAGTGAAGATTCTGCAACAAATCTACAGACTTAGAAGAAATAATTTTAATCAACACAAGCTGGCCAAACTCAATCTCAGTGCAAGACATCCTCCAGCTCTGCCAAGGTATTATGATGTAAACTTTCTGGAAAGAACTCAGATTGACTGGCATTGTTTGTGAAGTATTGCTTTACTTCAACATTACAGGTATATGACATACAATATAAGTTTCAGAATTCCTTAACTCTGCAGGTGTTGATGAAGTACTGCAGATTTGGAAGAGCTTTGCTGAAAAGCTCTGATTTCTCATGCGTTAGAAACTAAACGTGGAAAACAGTTTTGAAGAATCAGGGCATAATTTTCCTTAATACTACAATTGATTTCTAGGGGACTAGTTACTGAAAAAAAATCAACTTGTCTTGGGTAAAGGTGGCAGAACTCTGCCTAATAAATAGAATTTTGGAAAATACACTGTTTTTTTATAGCCTGTTCCCTTGACGATCTGAGATTGTTTCTTACAATGTTGACTGCTCTATTTTTTAGCGCTGTATTTAATTCAGTTGTAAATGACTCAAACTGTGGTGCTTCTACCACTTCCCCAGTCTGTACCATAAATCTGAATATGCATGTGTTTGCTTGGTATTGCTCAATGAAACAAATAACAACAGGTCTGAAAAAGACGTCAGGAAATTACTTATTCTTAATATGCACGAAGGATTGCTTATTTCACTGTTATGTTTAAGTATATAATGGCTTCCACCAAAGGAAACTGACACAGATTGTGTTTGATTAATGAACACCATTATTTGCTGTTGGCCTGAAGAATTTATCTTTATCTAAATATTTTTTTTCCAGAATTGGCACTTTTAAAATTAGATTAAGCACTTCTGTATATCTATTTCTACTCCTAGACAAATCACCCTTTTATTCAATTAACATTACTATTCCAAGCTTTACTGAGTAATTTCCCAATAATATAGTATAGAACTGTTTCACTGGCTGCAGCAATGAACTTCTGCAAGAAAATCAGCTGAATAGAAAAGAAAGAAAATATAAATGTGTTGACAATAATATGAGGCCTAAAATGAATGTGTACATTTTTGTAAGATGAATCCTTAGATGTACTTGGATTGTGTTTTTCTAATGAGTACCTCTGGGTATTGGTCAAATTCATCATGTGTTAATTGTTGGTATCATGAGAATGGAGTTGCTCTTCCTATTTTTATTTTCCTTTTTTTATGAATTTACAGTTCAGCAGTCTAAGCTTAGAAGAAAAATAAATATGAATTAATTTTGCCAAGTGATTCTAAAACTCATTTTAATTAGTCTCCTACATTCTACAGTTAACCTTGATTGCATTTCATAATTCAGATTTTCTTGCCTTGTGTAATGAGAAATACTCCCTACTAGTAATGTTAGAAAAGCAGAAGAATAAATTGATGCATCTTTCTTCATTAGCCATACAGTTTATTTTTCCAAGCTCCTTTGATCAAAAAATCTTGATATGTCAGTTTTGTTAAATTTTGCCATCTACCTGTACGTATAACTGATTACATTTCTTGATTTAAGGATTAAGGAGTCAATGAAAAAGTTAGCTGAGCTGGAAGACAAAGTCAGTCTTAGAAAATGTTCATCTGTGAATTTCATTACATCAGATTCTGCTTACTCTATCTGACTATTAATACTTAATGCTTGATGCATAATGGATTCTGAAATGTGAACAAAAAAACTGTCTCGGTTTATATAAATGCATAAATCTTAAAGCTCCTGTAGGTAGAAAATAGCTTCACAGAGATAAATTGATTCCCAAGCAGAGAAATATTTTTTCCCACTTACATCCTACCTGTTTTAATATCTTATCAAACTTTACATTTGCAAATTCCACCCATGGACAACACATTAAAATTCCTAATCTTGCTCCCTGAGAAACCAATAGAAATTTTAGTCTTAGTTTTGAGAGGAACTGTGCTAAGTTCATAGTAATATATCAGTTAGTGTGTTATTTCTGTAGATTTTTGTTCTTTATATCTGACTCCTAAGGTAAGAAATCTGGTCAAAGGCTAAAGGCTCCTGCAAAACCAGTTGACGCTACAGAGGTCCTTGTCCAATACTGTGTGGCACAGTACAATCTGTGTGGTGTGAGTTGTGGCAGGAGAATTGTTTTCAGTCTCATTCAGTGATCAAATCTGCTCCCGTTGTCACACAAAAACCACTGGCACACAGCTGGTGCAGGTGCTGATGTTGGCTTCACCATTCCAAATTCTTTGCAGCAGAAAGGTGCCAAGGTTCTTGAGAGTAACTGGCACGTGAGCCCTAATGGGATTACAACAGAACCATTGCTTTCTCAACGTGTATTCCATAAAATGGAACTTGGGGCAAAGGTTGTGGTTGGTTGCTTTGCAGTTTGCACCTTTTCTTTGAGTATTGTCTAATATGTCCTCCTCCATTCCCTTTTGCATTCTCAGAAGAATCTAGTTTGCTTATCAAGTTCTCTTTCTCTCTCTTTTTCTCTTTTCTCTTCCCCCCCCCTTTTTTCCCTTTCATCCAGATGGAATGCCATTTGCTTGGTGGGTTGGCCGTGCCAATGAAAAGCACCTTTACTGGGGAGGATCTCTTCCGGGCATTCAGCAGTGTGCCTGTGGATTGGAAGAAAGTTGTCTGGATATGAGATATTTTTGCAACTGTGACGCAGATAGAGAAGAATGGTAATAATTTTAACATGTGTGTAGCAGTGTCTGTGTGAAGAGTCAGGGATAGGTGGCAAAAAGGCTTAAATCTTTCCTGCTTCACAGTTCAGAAAGCTTGAATGGCTTGAGTACAGTCTGATAAGAATGAAAATGAAACTAGAATTTGGACTTCTGATTTCACCTTAAATTCTTATATTGAGCAAAGTCATCTGGCTGAAGCAGGTTTCTGGGATAGGTGGTCTTCAAAAAAATGTTTTTTGTTGAATGCCAAATCAGGTAATTTTATTTGCTTAAAAGTTTGGTTCAAGTGGAGCATTGCATGAATAAAAGCTCTATGAGCTTGTTTTATAGGTGTACATCAGAGCAGAAAATTGAGGCTTTGACAGCAAAATTCAGATACAGCTAAACAAGAAATATGTACTACTAAACAATCTCATATTTTTCTTATGAAACAGTATAATGTGCCTTAATCTTCTGTTACACTGGATCTCAAACTTTTTAAGGTCAATAGGAAGAGCTGTTTGCTTCTATAGGTTTTGGTTCAGTCTCCATAGGAAGTTTTAGAGTCACAGCATGAAAATCCAAAGCTTTCCTTGGGTTCTGACCTTTGTTGTTCTCTGATGCTGCATGAATCTGGGAAGGCCACCTCACAATCTTCTGTTATTCTCTGTACTTTCAGAGACACTCCAGCCACCAAGAGCTAGTTGGTGAACTTTCCAAATGTGTTTCAGGGGACTGAAATGCCAGATGAGTGTTATTGGAAGTACAGTTTGAAACACTGAGCATACATGTGAAAATTCTGCTCACTCAGTCTCCCTTCTACACTATTCATTCTTAGGATATGCTGTCCTTTATCTGAAAAAAAGATATTTTAACCTTGAGTAGTTCAGAAATTATGAATAATGGAAGTAGACAAGAAATGTCTTGCTGTCTTAGGATGCTGTGTTTGAAACACTGTCTGAATTAGCCCTGTGAAACCTTCACTTAAAATGAGCAGAAAGGAATGGTAAGGGGTCCTAAAACATTAAAAAAGTCAGAAATTACTTGTCACTGTAAGTGTTGGGCTTTTTTGGTTGCTTGATTTCTAGATCATTTGCTTGGACCCATTGAATCCCTGGGGTCACTATTCACTTCCAAAAACAATAGCTATAAGGAGATTTCTTCAGGAAGATGTTTATGTAACTATTGGCTTATGAATGTAATTTGTATTGAATAGCCTGGCTGTGCATGTTAATCTGTCTTTTCTTTAATGTTTGGTTATCAGATGTGCTTTTCACGAGGTTTGCACGTGAGCATCACGAGCATCTGTTTTTGCTGGTGCTTGGCTGTTGTCATAATCCACGTTCCATTTTTCACTGCTCAAGCAGAGCAGGGTGTTATGCTGGCAGACACTGGGGTTGCAGTTTTAGACTGCAGGGCACTGCACCACTAGGTCTTACAAACCAATGCAAGGTGAATGCTAAATGCAGTTTTATAATATTTCAGCTGAGTCTCCTCAGGAAATGAGACCTAAACAAGTTATGCTGTGATTGTTTATCTCCATTTCCCCCCACACACCCCCAATGGTTTTGAATAAGCAGGCACATTTCAAACATCTTGGACAGAGAAGAAGAAATCTCAAAAGTATTACAAATTACACATTCTATGAAAATTTATGCCAGGCTGAGGGGAAAAAGCCAATTAATGCCCACAAGAAGGAAGTTAAGGAAGCATACACTTTTATTAGATTTTGGAACACCCTCATGGGAGAAAGATGTTGGAAATCATGCATCGTTAGCTTGGCAGCTCAGAGCCCTACTTGTTTCTCCTAATTTCATGATAATAACAGAATATGCTTACAAGTTACCTCCACTAAACTGCCTACTGTTTGTTGGTTTGGGGATTCAGTTGCTTAGGTTTTTAATCCATGAGAAAATTTTACTTTGGTAGTATTCTAAGCTGAAGGTTGGCTTTATAAAAGCTAAAAAATCCCTGACCTTTATGAAGGGTTTCTAAACATAAGAAATTTCATGCCTCTTGAAGATTGCTTTTGTGTTTCCCTGCTAGAACACTGACCCCCTGATATATAACGAGCATTCGAATCTGAAACCTGCTGAGATCTGAACTGTGACTTTAACCTGCTATACATTATAGTGGAAGGAGCAAGACAGCAGTAGATGCATTTATTTGCCTCAGCATGAAATAAAATGGGTGCCGCAGAGTGGAAAACCAGAAAATCATTTTTGCTCCTTTTAGATAAATCATGCTGTTCCAAGGTAGGAACTCTCCAGAACAGCTGAAGCATCCTCCTGAAGAGGAGACAGTCCTTGGATTTTGCTTTGATTTGTTTTCCCTAGACTAAATCATGACTGCGGAAGAAGCTACTAATTTCTCAGAGCAACAAAAGAAATTATAAACAATGGAAAGCAGACCTGACAAAATCCTGTGCCAGGTACAGCAGTATGGCAGCAACACAATATGCACTTCCAGGCATGCTGACTTGTAAATGATACCTGAGCAGACACCTGAGCCAGCTGCTATTTTGGGCTCTTACTTGACATCAAGTTAGTCTCCTGGCCAGATGAATAGGCATCTATAATTAAGCATTCTAGATCGGGAAGGCTTCTATGTTTTTCACCTTCTTTTTTATTAAAGTGTTGTACTGATAAGTATCTTTTTCCATTTGGCTCATCATGCTTCCAAACGCCACAGTAGGATGACAGTGAAATCTGGCACTTCAGAATAGTGGAGCATCTTCAGGGTGTTGTCTGGAGAATAGGAGATCTCTGATGTGGAAGCAGAGGTACCTACAACTGCACCCCTTTTGTTGACCCAAGCAAGGGATCTGAAAAAGTATAAGATATGCCTTAGCTGTGTGCTGCCAAAAAAAGAGAAAGACTCCTGACTGCTGAAAGCACTTGGTAGTGGGTGGAAACATTCATAAAAATCCAGTGGCTTCAAGCTGAAGCTAAAGGTAGTTCAGAGAATGTTCATTCTTTTTTTCTGCCTTTCTGTCTTTCTCTTCCCCCACAGTGACAATAGTTAAAGTTGGGACAAGCTCTGTGTAGATGAGACACATTAGTGATTGCCTTTCAAAATAGACACCCTGTTTCAAACAAAAATGCATTCTTGATTGGGGAAATATGTCGAACTGACCTAAAGAATAAAGCATTACTGAAATACTGACAGGATAGTGTTATCATGAGATCTTTTGGATCTTCAAATACTTCTCCCAGGTTGTCTTTCATCTCAAGTAAAATTCTCTTGCCTTGGCAGTTAAGGTCTTACTCCTCACCAAACCTTGCATTTAAGTGGGGAGGAAACTCTTTCATGCTGAGGTGAGGCACAAGACTGTCCTGAAGTCCTTTTGCTACTTTGGTCTCTCTATCTGGAATCCATTTTCCATTTCAAATGCAGACCCTTGACTGAAGCCAGTAATCAAACCGAACCTTGTTGATGGCATTCACCTGGAAACCTTGTGAATTTGGAGAATTTTGCAGCTTTTTGTTTTGTATACAAAGAGAGGTAGCTTTGGAACTCATTTTGTACAAAAAGCTCAGACATCTCACCAAAGTGTGGTGGATGGTGTTGCTTCCAACAATTAGCTGATTTGCCATCTTTTATTTTTATTCTTCAGTCTTATTATTCAAACTGGAGGAGTATCCTCCTCTTTTATCTTCCAGAACAGTTTTCTGGGGAACAGCTGGGGAACTAAATCTTTGAGTCTTGCCATTTCCAAAGTAACATGCATTTGCCTCTGTATCGTGGCTTTGGGGCACTAGAAGAATAAGGAAAACCACAGGACCTGATAAGAAGGGGAACAAAATAGAGGGTGGATATTACTATTGTCAGACCCACTTTGTCTCCCAGATGTATAATGAGTACATTGGGCTTTGTTTGAGGAGGGGCAAAGCCAAATGGAAGTGAATGAAGCCCTGCTTGGATAAGCTTTATTTGTGCTAAGCTATGCCAGAGCCAGGGTGATAGAACTGGAAGGGCAGAGAAACCCTGACGAGCACAGATCTGACAGGTTTTGTTTGCTCAAGCACTATCCCACACTGAATTCATTCCCTGAGAAGCAGTGCAGGCAACTTCAGAGAGCCTGTGAGCTCATAAATAACCCCTGCCAGAGGTGACCTGGCCTGTACAGAGTTGTCTTGGATTTCTGCCTCATGACTACATTTGTCAACAACTGGGAAGAGCTGCCTGCAGAGAGCTAACTGTAGCAGGTCCCTGAGGTGTTGAGAATCAGTTCATTACACTAATTACCAAACTCTGTATCTCTAATTCAGCCAAATATAGGCAGTGCATCTTGCCTTCAACTGTTAGGTATGTCCCCTTGTGCTGGCGTTTTTTTAGTTTATTGTGAATGTACATTATTTTACCCAGTAAAGCATTTTTGATATGGCTCATGGGTAAGATAGCAATTAAAATGTATTCTTTTGGATTATCAATGATATGTCCTGCACAGGCCTCAAAATTTTTCCTGATGGAAGCCTATATCACAGGCCCATTCCTTATGAGTTTCCTTGCCATCTGCTGATGACAGTATTCTTTTCCCCAAATGTATGGTATTCCTTAAAATCTGTACTGAATATCTGAGCTACTGTGGCTGAGATCCCACCAGAGTTTCCATTAATGTGCAAGGGAAAAACATACCAATAGGGGATCATATGAGAATAAATTATATTTAATAGCACCACTGTTCTACCATCTGTTACAAAAAATATGGAAATGGCTACCTAGAGATTAGCAATTTATGATGGCTCACACTGTTAGAACACCATTGAGCAAGGGTTTCTTGAGCACGTTTTTAGTAGTAGTGAGGAAGAAGAAAAATAGTTTCATAATGTTACCATCCAAATAGTTATTTGTCATTTACATGTGAGACTGCCTTTACTACACTTTGAAAGACCCAGCTGCTGCACTATCACCTTTAATAGCAAATTATTTTCACCTTTTTTAAGTTGGTCCATACATAGAGCATTTGTTTGATGTGTGACTTGGCTCATAGCTTATTGAGAAAGACTTTTGGGTAGGTGTAGACATTAATCTTCAGACATGGATAAACAAATTACATCCATCTGTATTTAATACCCACAAACAAAAAAATTTCAGTGGTTTAATTTAGAGGGCATTAGTGGATTTGTTTGATTTAGGTTTTGCTTGTGGAAAGGACAAATCGACACTATCATTTATGCAAAGAGCTCAGAAAAACATCTGTTTGTTGAGTGTTGTTTCCACCCTCAAAACATTCACATTTTCAGTTGGGTTTGTGCCAAATCAAGTGCCAAGTCCAGTAAGCAGGAGGTCGACTTCTGAAGTTATTAATTTATTCATACCATTTTCTGTGAGCAGAGGACTCCTTTCAGGAAAGTGATAAAACCAGCCTTGATTTTTGTGAAATCAGGACTTAACTTACAAGGGGTGTGCTTGGTGGAGGTAGCCACAGAGTGCAATGTGAAATGCACTAAGGAGAAAAAAAGTATTGGCTAACCTGAGAAGCAGCTGTGGAAAAGCAAATATAATCTGGTTTCAAGTGTATGAAGTGCTAAATTAAAATACATATAAGTGAAAAGGAGCTCTGGGAACAAATGCAAAAATAATTAATGTAACAAGGTTTAATTTTTGTTTAAAAGACAAAATCATGTATTTGCACATCAGAGTGCAGATGCTTTTTATCAGAAAATAGAAATTTTATCTGAAAAGTGTAGTACATGAAAAGTGATCCCCAAGCCCCCTTCAGGCAAAATTTCAAATGTTTTGTCCAAACCCTGGTATATTTGTATTTTGTAGTGCCACAGCAGTGCCTCCAGGAAGTTATTGTGCAGGTACACGAAGCTCTTTTGCTCCTCTCTCAGGAATAATACATTGTATTTGAGAGGCTGCCATGGTGTAGCACATAGGGAAGAGGAATTGTGGTGCTTTGTGAGAAATGGAGTCTGAAATAAGTTCAATTTACAGAATACAAGGAATTTGAAACACTCACAGTGTCTTCCACTCTCTTTTCTTCTTTTCTTAGCTGAAATCACTTAGGTGTTGATCTTTCACCAAAAACTTGATTTCATACTATGAAATAATAATAATTAACTGCAACAATAGATATGTTATTCCTCACACTGACATGTTCTCTGAAGGACAGAATGTTTTTCTGATAGGTTTTATTTCGGTGTCTGCTTGTGTGAAAATACATATCATTATATGAGGGGTTTTTCCATGTGTGAGAAAACAAAATGCATAAAATGTGCTTTTTGAGTTTGAAGAGAAGCTTGATTGAGTTTTCAAGGCATTAACAAAGAAGTGAGGATTTTTATTAATTCTAGAATATATTTCTCTCTCACACTTGAGCTATGCTACTAAAGTTCACTCTGACACTGGCATATAAGTAGTAAAAATTCAGTCGTAAAATTTGATATAAAAGAACTTCATGCAGTACAGCGGAATATCTAATAAGCAATGCAGTTTTCAGAGATGTGGAATAGATATCTTTAAAATGTCACCATTTCATGGTTTTTTGTAGATATTTTGAGTGCTAGCTGTAGAAAGATACTGATTTTTATTTTAATGCTGATCACAGCTAGTAAAAAGACTGCACCATTTTTAAAATTTAAATAAATTTGCAGGAACCCTCCCTAAATATTTTTTCAATTTTTGAAAAATTTTATTTTAAAAAAGAAAACAGCACCTTAGTTACTCATGTGTATATTGAATATTTCATGTCCCATTACTATGCATCTTTCTGCCTTTTTTTTATTCATTCTGCCTACTCTTCTTCCTCCCTCACTGTAATATCTTATTTAATTATCTTCCTAAGAAATACTTAAATAATTTAGCTTTTGTCACAGTAGTTTCATAATCCGTTAAGAGTATTTATGCTAACTTTCAGGTATTGATACAATAAGCTATGAGTGTGATACTGAAGAGATTTAGGGACCATGTACCTTTGATTCATAGATTATAGTTTTCCTTCTGAGTCTGCACTGAAAGCCTCACTCTGCCTCATGCCTGGGAATTTCATCTTGCTGCACTTTGTCTGTAATTATTTGCATGTCAGACACCCACTGGAGCAAGAAGAAAACGTTAGCGTCGGAGAGGATACCTCTCCTTTTCCCTTTGGCATTATGAGACAATTAACTATGCTGCATGCAATTATAAGCAATGAAAAATAAATGCAATGTGTGCAGCCTTTATGAAAAAGATCAAAATGCTCCTATTTTTGTCTAACATTAATCAGACTAGAGCACTTAGCCAAGCAAACATTTGAGGTTGTGTGTCAGAGCACAGCTGCAGTGTTTGTCCTGATTATTATTTCTTTGCTAGAAGTCTGTGTCTGTTCCTGTATCTGGAACTACACTGAGAAGTTGGCATTACAAGGAAGATATGGGCAGGTCTGGGATCCTGCCTGGAATGTCAGACTCTGACAGTGTCATCACTGAAACAGTGATACCTGTTTCCTGAGGCATTGTGTCACACCTGCCTGGAAGAGCAGTGGGTATAAATTTAGGCTTACTGGCATTCTGGATGCATTGCCATCCCCATGTGCAGGATGTAGTCTTTCACCTATGAGCAGACAGGTGAGTTGAGTCCAGACCCTGCTGGGATGTGCAGAGGTAGAGATCCTTTCCCCAAAACTACTGAGATTTGGTTCCATGAAGGATGCTCTGCCACACTTACGTGCCCAGATGTACAACAAACCTTAACCTTGACAAAATCACTGTGGAGATTCATAGCACTCATCTATTATCAATTGATAGAGAGACACCTCAGAAGGGCAGTTCTGCTCTGGCATGGTCAGGGTTGGTGTCTGGGGGACTCAGCTGGGTTCATGAAGTGCAGTGGGATGAATGCACATCTGTGTACCCTGCCAGAGCCAAAGCCACTCAGTCGGCTTAAGGACCTACCACGAAATATCACACGGCATTTTGAGGACAACTTTTTGTCCAGCTGACTCAGAATAAAAACAGAGAAATTATCCTTTAAGAATCAAACTTCCTTTTCCTTACTAGCAGCCATGAGTAAGTTAGTCACAGCTAAGAACAAGCCCAGCTAACCAAACATGAGAAGTTCGACAATGCAGTAAATCTGCCTTGAGTATTTCACTTGCTGAACCAAAATGTCCCCAGTGTACAGTGCAGAGGCTCCATTCAGTACAAACGGCCAATTCAGCTGTTTTTGCAGTGTGCAGGGTCAGTTGTGTCCCAGCCATCTAGAAGTTGGATCAGTAATTGTCTGGCTTCCCCTTGCTAACAGTGGGCTGGATCAGGCATCACCTATCCTCTTCCTGCTCGGGTAAAGCATAAAGCCAGCATAAAACATCCTTATCTGTCTCCAGCTGACTTTACAGAAATGCAGACTTGGACTTAGACCTGATCCACAGCAAATACATCCTGCTGAGGAAACCCCGTAGAGCCCAGTTTACATTAATGCCCATTAGTCAGCATGGCAGAGCTCTTCCTCAGCTTCACAGTAGTTCTGCACAGCTGAAGCAGGTTTACAGTCCATCCCAGCCAGTGTCGTGTTTCTAAATGGTGTCTTCAGTGGTCAGTATTACATGAGAACATAGAGCATACATGGGAACACATTGATCTTAAACAGTGTGTACTTGTCATAATTCTTCCAGGTAATTATGCAAAAGCTCTTTAAGTAAGCATCTTTTAAAGATTCTCTTGCATGAGGAATGCTGGGGGCGGGGTTTGTCTGTGGTTAATCTGTCTCTTTCTGTTTGTGTATTAAAATCCAGGACAAATGATACTGGCCTCCTTGCTTTCAAAGACCATTTGCCTGTAACTCAGATTGTGATCACTGACACAAACAGATCAAATTCTGAGGCTGCTTGGAAAATCGGTCCTTTGCGTTGCTATGGAGACAGTGAGTACTAGCTCTTCTCAATTTCCATAGGTACAGAATGTCCCTTTTTTCTTGTTGTTGTTGTTGTTGTTGTATTTTTTATAAAAAAACCCTATTTCTCTGCTAAAAGGTGGCTTTCTACATGCAGTCTGCAGCTGCTGTCCTGTGCCAATTAACTATAGAGAAGGGGGTTGTGTTTGCAGGGCAGTTCTGGAATGCTGCTTCCTTCAACACCGAGGCCTCCTACCTGCACTTCCCCACGCTGCACGCCGAGGTCAGCGTGGACATCTCCTTCTTCTTCAAAACCACCGCCGTGTCTGGGGTATTCTTGGAAAACCTTGGGATTAAAGACTTCATACGAATTGAAATAAGCTGTAAGTTTCACTGCTCAGAAATATTGAGTGGTTTTGCCCAATTTGACAGATGCAGAGAACTGGGAAGGACATATTTTCTGCCATTTTTAGATGGCTGGAAGTGCTTGGAGATGATAAGATGGAAACATAAAGACTCTTTTATCGAGACTTACCTACCTCTCCTGTCAGAGTTTCCGTGTATAGACTTGATCATTACACTTAATCTTATTATGGCTAGATTTATCTTTCTTAAACAAGAGTATGAATTTATTTTTTCAACACTGCCATTTCTTTTTTTTTGCTCTTTAGAGAAAAAACTACTGGTACCTATAGGCTGTTTCTAGTTGAAAGTTGAAAAATTTAATGCAACCATTCTGATGGTTACTTTTATTTCCATGTCAGTAACATACCCAGTCTGATGTAGCCCTAGTGTTTCAAAGGAACAGTGTGTATGGTACAGCTGCGAGGTGAGAGTTTATGAAGGACAAGACACTAATGCAATACAAGTTAGTCACAGTTGTAATGGATCTTGAATACTTCAAAATCTATTAAGTGAGTGCAGTGTAACTGCTACTCAGTGTATAAGGAAAATGGCAGGGAATTTAATTAGTGAGATTTTGCCTCACTCCTGTTGTATGACTTCAAATATTTATTAGTGACAAAAGAGTACGGCGGCCTTGACATGAAATATGACACGTGTATTCCAAATTCTGTCAAGCTGAGGGAAAACAAACTGAGTGCTATGCATTTGATAATATGCTTATAATAACCCAAAAATAAAATTTAATAAAGCAGGGCCCCAAGGCCCTTTGATTCATTAAACCAGTGGTAAATGTCATGGTGGATTATCACAAGGTAATGAGGTGTGATTTACTGTTAATTGCACATCAAGGTCCAATTTTGTTGCACTTCAGGGTAGTGCATTTTATTCTCAGGGATACAGAAGTAAAAATGGCATCAAATATAACAAGTACTGTTAACTAAGAGGATTGTTCAGTGAAAGCTTCTGGATGTGTTTACATCTGTACTCCTAGAGAAATGAGTTATTTAAAAGTTTGGGAAAAAATCTTTTAGACTTAGGCTTCTCATCAGTAGTTTGTTGTTGTGCTTCCTGCTACCAGATGGAATTTGCAGCCTAAAGGCCTTGTATCAAGGAAGCTCCATGGAGCAGGTGCTTCAAAGGGAAACAACTTTTTAGCAGAAGCAGGGGCTCGGAATAGATCTTTGTCTATCCCTCTGGAGCATTTCCTGTCTTAGCTATCTAAGAAGAGCTTCCAAAACCAGACCTATCCAATTTTTTGGGCTTGAAATAACAAGACTTTTAGGAATTTTTAGTCTAAAACCTTCTTGTTGTGTGACGTGTGGACCTGGTTCTTGGCCTTTTTGGTGCATTTACCATTTTAGGAAGAGGAAAATGATCAGTAGCAAATGTTAAAAAGTTCTGGCCCCTTTCAGGCTTCCAGCAGAGCAAGGCGGACTCCTTTATGTGGCTTTTGTTTTTCAACTATTGCCGTGTTTCCAGGAGCTTTATTATTTCTAGATGTGTGTTACATATACAGCTTTAGTTTAGGATCACCTATTGAGTAGTTTTGCCCACAAATTTTTTTGTGCATCTTGGGTCAGAATTAGGCAAACAAATGCTTGTAGGCTTCTCTTGTACCACATGCAGCCACGTTACACAATGGTTAATTACCTGTGTTTTGAAAGATCTAGTTGGAAAGATCTTCATCCTTGCTCCCATCTTAGCATTATTTGTACACAATCTTCTGGGACCATTGTGTGACTTTTGTGCAGCATTTAGCACTTTTTCTTCAAAAAGAAATGTGCCATTTCTAGATCACTGTGATTTTTATAGCAAAAAAAGATGGGTACCCACAACCAAGCCTAATCAAAGCAGAGATCAAGCAGTGAGGCTGCAGGCTTAAATTTATGTATCAGCTGCTGTGTGGGAGATGGGAGGTAAATGATCCTGTACTATTTGCTGACATAAAAGTTAATGATCCCTATATTTATGTAAGATTTCTTGATGTCAAAACCATGATTTAATCCAGACCTTCACTTCCTCTTCACATCTGTTTATCTGTTGCAGCCCCCAAGGAGATCACCTTCTCCATAGATGTCGGGAATGGCCCCACAGAAGCCACTGTGCAGTCTCCCACAGCGCTGAATGACAACCAGTGGCACCACGTCCGGGCAGAGAGGAACCTGAAGCAAACCTCTCTGCAGGTGGACAACCTCCCCAAGAAGGTCCTGGAGGCCCCTGCTGAGGGACACTTCCGCCTGCAGCTCAACAGCCAGTTATTTGTAGGTAGGGACAATCCAAGGGTTCCTGCAGATAACAGTATTTCATATAATTTCATATAATTTGGTGATGAATGCTCTTCTCTCACCATTGAGCTTGCATGTGGTGGCTTGATTTTGCTTTATCTTCTACTCCTTCATAGGCAACATGAATAACATGAATAACAGCTCTTTGCACTCAAAGGACAAACCATAGTTTAGCCATGCTATACTTAATGGGTTTTTTGGGGTCAAATTCCTAAAATGTATTTATTGCCAAAGAGTTAATAACCTTCCTTCTTATGCAGCACCGGCTGTGTAAAATGCTGTAAAAAAATGTGACCTCTCTCTTTAGGCACATTGTAAAAGTCAGAAATTTTTCATATAATTTTCCGGGGCAAAGCCTGAAGACAGTATGATCTTTCAATTCTATTCCTTTAAGCATGCCTACCAAAACCCTTATTTGGCTAGAGAGTCCATGAGTGAGAGAAGCATGAGCACAGTCAAAGCAAATACAGGTATTTTATCTGAAAGTGATTTTTCAAAGAAAAAAAGAAAATTAAAAGAGGAAAGAAAAATCCCTGCCTATATTTTATTTACTTATCGCCCTCACACAAAAAACCTGGACTGGGACTAGTTTGTATTTGATAATATGATAATGGCTTACAAAGGGAATTATCTCTTTTCTATATTCAAATGCTGTCTTTCTGAGTAATCTGCTCAATGATGAAGTGGGATGTTCTTATGGAGGGCCATTCAGGTAACTTCTGATTCCTTCCCTCAAATGGATTTTTTTACTTAGCTGAAATGCTGTAGCAAACCTCAATCTGTCAGTGCATTTTAATACAGTTTACTTTTGTATTCATACCCTTATACTTAAGTAGCTTTCGGGGTATTCATTGGAGCTTTTTATTGTATATGTGCAGTAATTACTGGGCTCTGAATGTAAAGAATTCATCTGTTAATAAATAGATATGGCTGCATCAGTGTCAGGAGTCCTTCCAACACAGCTGTTGATTTATACCTAAAATGATCTCTGTTAGACGCAGCTGGAGAGGAGAACACACAGAAAGGAGGCTTAAGACTGTCACAGTGCAAGGTTTCTGTTTTCTGGTATGAAGCATGCTGCTAATCACTTGTTTTTCAAATACTACATTGATCCTAAGAACGTGTTCTGTGGGAGGCCAGGCCTGGAGGCAGCAGGCTTGGGCTGCCAGACACCTTAGAATCATCAGAGAAATTTAGCCAACATACTGTTTGCAGTTAGGAAAATTAGATATTTTGTGACTGAATGGATTTTGTGATTTTTTTGGCTGTTTCTTTCTAAAGGACTAAATATGACGGGTTTATCATAGGCCATCTATTAGATATGTCATATATATCAACTGTTTACCATCTCACATCTGAAAAGCAGTATCTGCCTGTAAGCTTGTTCCTCAGCCTCAGCAAAATAAACCGGTCACCTGTGTGAATTTCATGGTGGTTTTAACATAACTGATGAATTGTGTCATGAAAATCTATGGTAGTTAAGGACCTCACCAGAGCAATGTGCCAACAGGAGCCCTTGTGGGCAAAGACAAACACAAAGCCCTGCACCTGCCACAGAACAGCATCAAGCTGTCCCCATCCCCCACAAGCTGGGGATTGAGTGGATGGGGAGCAGCTCTGCCAAAAAGGTCCCATTGGTTTTGGTGCAGAAATGAATTTGTACCTCATCTGAATGTAGCTATGCTTTAAGGAATAGGTTGGAACCTAGTCCCTGATACCAGCAGGGACTTCTGACTGATTGTAGTGAGTGTTTACAGAAAACTCTAGGATATAGGTATTTATTTCAGCCAGGAGGTGAAAAGTACTCACTGCGCAATAAATATGTTGCATTCTGTCGTCCATCCACACTTTTACTGAACCATGAACAAAAGGGACAGAAAAAAAAATTAGTTTGGGAGTGCTTTTTCAGGCCTTAACTCTGCCAGATTGAAGGCCAAAATTATCTGTGACTTGCTAAGTTTTCCTGAGAGCTGTCAGAAGAGTTGGAAACCTGGGTTGCCTCCTGATTCTGGCACTACTTCTCCCTGGGTGCTCCAGGGAAAGGTGGCAGAAGCCCAGCAATACACAGATGTGATATAGTTTGTCTCTACTGAAAGACTCATTTGAATCTTGTAATAAAAAGCTACTGATTTAATACCTCAGCCATGCAGAGAGAGTTTTAACCCATCTGAAAAATAAATGTATAAACACCATTGTAAAGACGAAAGAGAAAGAAGCAGCAGCACATAATATTGCTCCCTACTCCCCCTATAATCCACAACATATTTGTCTCTGCAGTATTCTGCATACTGACAGTGATTAAGGGGTTTCCAGCCCTTAATGACTGTGTCTGGCAGACTTTTGAGATAACTCTGTGTGTCTGTGAAGTGGAAGAGAAAAATGACTTTGCATTGCCCCTACACTCAAACAAGCTTGGGTTTAAAGCAGTTAGAAAGGAGTTAGAAAACCATTTCTCCCTTTCTTTTAGTAGGTCTGGGGTGCTAATTGCTCCAGCTGCATTATAATCCTGTCAGAGCATGGACATCCTTGCACCTGGCCAGATTTATTCTGTAAATTGGACAAAAGTACAGTAGAAGGAGTAAACCCCTACCAAATGTGCAGGCTAAGTGACATCAACTGCACCAAAGTGTCCAGTAACAAGCCAATCCTGAGAAATTAATTTGATGTGCAAAGCTTTGATCAGAAGTTTTTGTGCTGTTTGTTTGGTACATTTAGAAAATTATTAAAGCTAAATGTTTGTGTTCCTGATTTTGTCTTGGGAGGAATTGAGCAAGGAATGAATCCTTGGGTGAACCTCCTCTCTCTGTTGTAGACAGTCCAAAGGCAACATAACCCAGAAAAAGTCAACATCTGAGAAACTTTGTCTGGAGACAGAGAGAAGAAATGATAGGAAAAGAAGGAGTTTATTTACTGCTGTTAGTTTTGAAAGCATTTTAGACACCTTGGAATATTTTGGAGGCCAAGAGGAGAAATTAATGCCTGACTCTTTGTGTATCCTGTATGCTTTGTATGCTTAGAGACAAAAAAGTGTGACTTCAAGGTCTTCTGAGGAACACCATAACAAGTTCTCCTGCTCCTGATTATGATTCCTATACTTCTCTGCCCTTCCCTTTTCTTTGTATCAGTTACACAAATGCTCCTAATACTTATTTGCAGCCTCCCTAATCCAGTTTCTACTAACAAAAAGTCCTTTGTTTTCTTTAAAACAAATCCTCAACTCATTGCTAGAATGTTAATTGTTTAGCCAATTGTGTCACCAAGCTATGCTGTGAGTGCTCAGTTGTGAGCTTCTTGTCCTCTCCTCTCAGACTCTCCCTTCCTTTCCGAAGGGCTCCTCACAAAAATTCAGCTGCATAAACACCTTGCTGAAAACAGCTTGGGGCATTTGACTGTCACCTCTGCTGAGCAAAGTGCACCCTTAACCTCGGTGTTTATTGTCTTTAGGCTTATCCTAAAATATGTTTTCCTGAATAAAACATTTAGGTCTCATCCATTAAAGTCTGTAGTCCATCAGACTCCTATTAGAGTTGGAAGAATCTGCAAAGCCTAATTTGGGGAAGAGTTTTTTGTGTTTGTTTTCAGTTTTTCCTTTGCTTTTCAGAAATGTATGTGAAGATTAGATCTAGTCAATCGAAGAAAACTGTCCAAAATAAGCAATATATTTGTTTAATCAATGCTGTGTGGGTCTAGGATCACACAGCTGGTCTGTGTTAAGCTCTATACTCTCCAGAAAATAGAAGATGAGAAGAGTGAGAAACTTTACATGGCTTTCCAAAGTGCTTTAGAGAGCAGTAAGAATATGAGTAGTGCAATAAACATGACATCCATAGAACACTTAGCAATAGTTTTAACTCATGTTTTATATGGTACAGCTGGGATTGGTGTGTGTGCAGAAAAGAGGAAAGGGAACTCATTCATCCTTGTAATATTTGTGGTGGCCTTCAATGCAAAAGAAAACAGGGTAACCAGTAGCCTTAAAGGGAGAAATCTCATTTCTACTTACATAGACTTTACTGAAAAATCTCTATGGTATGTTTTGTTTTGGGTCAAAATCTCCAAGCAAAAGAATTGTGTGTGCAGTTCAGCAAATGCAGAAAGCCTGATTCTTGTCCTCAGAGGGCCTTTAAAGTAAATTAGCTAACATTTTCTCACCTGAAAACAATAGCTGGCTAAAGAGGAACTTGAAAATATTTATTTTTCTGAGAAAGGCATAATAAAATGTGTATGAAAGAGATGTGTCTCATGCATACTATCTAAAGTTCAATTACTTTAATTCACATCCAGTGAATTTCTGCTATTAGTGTTCCAGGAAGAAAAGTATGACAGAATGGTGTAGTAGAACACCAGACCTTTCCAGACTGTTACTGCATTCTCTTTAGTTTTCAGAAGTCTTGTTTTAATTAATTTATAGAATAAAAACAAATGCTCTTCTGCTGGGGCTTATCAAGTGATGTAATCTCTTAAGTCATACGCTATGAAAGAGAGCCAATTTCTGCAGAAGAATAATGACTTCTTTCATACTACTTTTGCAGGAGAATCACCAATAAAGCTAGCTTTTAAGAGTCTGCAAATGCTGATAACTCCTGAACCAGACTTAGATTTCCTAGCAGCAATCAAAACTGCAGTATCTTCAAAAGCAAAACATTGGCAACTGCAAAAAAAAAGCATATGATAAGAAAAATGGTTATATTTTCATAGAGAACTTCAACAATCATCATTATTATCATTCTCAGAGCTTACCTCTTATGGAAGAGTGCCTTCACTGTAACACTGTTAGCAGTTTCGTTTGACAGATATGGTGCTGGTTAGCTTGTAGAGACTGAACTGCACTCTTGCATACAGCTCTGGTCTCCAGGAAGAAATGCAATTATGTTTAACCATGTGCTAAAAAACACATCTGTGAACTGAGCTCCTGTTTCAGGCCTACAACAACCATTGGCATGCAACACATGGGGCTGGGCAGTCATGCATAAATGCAGACTGCAGTCATTTCCCTTCAGCCAGCAGGCCTGATGCTGAGCATGACTCATCCCTGCTATTGGGACTCATCAGCATGCGTAACTCTCCTGCTGGTGGGATTAGGGTGTTGTTTGTACTAAGGAAACAAATAAGAAAAAACAACAAAGCCCCAACATTTTTTGGTTTGGTTTTCTCATGTATTTGGTGATATGCAGACGTAAGATAAAGAAGCTAATCTTTCTCTTAAGTGAATTTGCAATTTCAATGCCAGACAGGGCAGCAGATAAGCCAAAAAAGAGAAGAATGACAAAAGGAAAATGTCATATACAGCTTTCTAGTTCTTTCATAAAAATAGAGAGATGCCTTTAGTTTCCAGGGCTGTCCACTTTATGCATTGATATATAGTATTTTTTTAAAATTTGTGATTTCGTATGTGTGCCTCAGGATTGAACATGGCTTTGATCACTGTCAGAGTCATCAATAAGTGCATTTTTCTCTCTTTCTCAGGGGGAACAGCTTCCAGACAGAAGGGCTTTTTGGGATGTATTCGATCTCTGCATTTAAATGGACAGAAACTTGACCTCGAGGAGAGGGCTAAAATGACACCTGGTGTAAAACCTGGATGCCCAGGACATTGCAGCAGTTATGGGAACCTGTGCCATAATGGAGGAAAATGTGTGGAAAAGTATAATGGTTACTTCTGTGACTGTACCAACTCAGCCTATGAAGGACCTTTCTGCAAGCAGGGTAAGCAGCAAGCTTTGGTCCCAGTTATTTGTGCAATAACTCTGAATGACAGCACCATTTCACTCATGTCAGCTTGGTGACCCCACATCTCAAGAGGTTCTATTATCAGCTGTCCCTTCAGTGTTCTTAAATGTTTATCTTAAGCAGGCTCCAACACCTCACTTTGTTGAGCTCTGTGTTGGCCTCAGAAATTAAAATTGTGTTAGTTGTATTAATATTTTACCACTGTATCCCACTATGATTCCTGTATTCCATTGCATGTAACTATTCCCAAACATTAGGAAATGGGGCTAAAATGCTTTTTAGCAGATGTTTGACCATGTCTGAATGTTTAGGTTCCTTGCTTTTTAAACCTCATCTTCCTTTGTTCACCTTAACAAATCCTTAAGGTTTTTCTTTACAAAGTTTTAAAGCATTGATGTGACAAAAAAGAGGTAGTCTTTTTATGTTTGGGTTTGGTTTTTTTTTCATTCCTGCGACAACCCATCCAAACGTTAAGAAATTTTTAAAATAAGCATGAAGCATTCAGGAGAAAACCGATTTGCATGGTTCAGTCTTTGGTGAATGTGTCCTCACTGAACCTTTCTGGTGACTTATAAGAGGTGCTGTCAACACCAGAAAAAAAGCAGGGCAAATATGGAACATCTAATTTAGAGAACATGCTTTTTGGAGCTAACAAAATCACTACTCAGTAACAGCAAGGTGCAGTGTGAATTTTTAATTACCATAGCTGTCCCCCTCCTCACAAATGCAATAGGTTTGCTAAGTGGGCTGCATCATCTGCTGTGCAAATTGGCTTAGTTGTTTAATGAAAACAGAAGTATGAGTTCTAAGGACCTGAAGATGCACAGGTAGATGTTTCTCTTTATTTGATGCTCCCAGAGACAGCTTCCCTTACTAGCTGTCTTTGGTCAGTGTGTTCCTTTCATAATTAATTTCTTTTAAAAGGAAACTGGAAAGAATAAATCTATTCTGGGGGCAAGACAGAGAATTTTGCCTTACATGTGACTGTCAGACGATGGTGAACAAAGCATTTATTTGGCTGACAGATATTTGCACTGTTCCATCTTGTGAAATTCTGATTCCAGCCCTGAAATAGTTGAGTTTATGTGTCCATACACTGTTTTTCTCTGTGCCAGACAAGCAATCTGCAAGGAAGGACACAGTTATACAGGTGAAGGAAGGGTGATGTCAGCTGGATCAAGGGTGTTTTTGCAGTGTTCTACTTCTGAGGCAGTCAGTTCTGGTCCATTCCCGCCTGGGAGATCTGAAAATGCAATAGCTGAAATAATTCCTTTGGTTTATATCTGCTTTCAGAGGTGTCTGCATTATTTGAAGCCGGCACTTCTGTTACCTATACTTTCCAAGAACCTTATCCTGTCACAAAGAATGCAAGCACCTCAAGCTCTGCCATTTATGTGGATGCTGTCGTGTCCAAGGAGAATATTGCATTCAGCTTTCTCACGGCACACTCTCCAAGCCTTCTGCTGTACATCAACACCTACTTTCATGAGTATTTGGCTGTGATTCTCTCCAAGAATGGTAAGTAGTCTTGATTTCCTACGCAAGGGAGACCAGTGTAACTCTGTGGAGTTTTTGAGGGGTTGGTTGGTTTGTTTGTTTATGGGTCTGTTTTGGGGGTTTTTTTTGTGAGGGAATAGTATAGAATTCTCCACTGATTTATATTCATTTCTGTGTCTTCAACTTTATCAACTTCATGGTGTTCAGTTCATGAAATGGCCATCACTCTTGTTTATGTCCCTTTATTTGGCATTCAGTGCTACACTTGCCTATTCAGTCTTTGAGTAATCATGTTGTTGGGGCTTAAAATGTGCTTTGACTTCCATTTGGCAAAGTTGTACAATAGTAATTCCTTGCTATTTATTCCACAGTGAGATCCATTAGGCCACCAAGATAAGGGAATGAGAAATACCATGTATGTGCAAGAGTGCTTGGTGCAGAAATACACTATAATTTTATCCATTGCATTTTGTCTTGGCACATGTATTGGTCCTCACTGGATTGTTTCAATGGAATAAAGCCATTTTGTGTAAATATTAAAGCCAGAATATGTCAAAGTTTTCTGGGGTAATTGACCAAAACATGAGGTGCAAATCCATTTCCTGTTTAAAGATACTTAATGTGGGTACTTTTTGAAAATGTGTAAAGATTTTAGGGGCATACACCTTTGTCTTCTCAGTAAAACTTGGGCTCCTGAGTCCTTGCAGTGCTTTCAGAAAACTCAATCCAGACAAACATCATCCTAGACAAGTGGGAAAATCTGAATTTTCCAAGAGTTACCAGGCACTGGAGGACTGGAAGTGATGAGTAAGCTTATTTGTGAGTCAGTAGCCTGTAGCAGAACAACAGAAAGTTGATGTAATGTGGCTGAATATGTAGATTTGACTGAATGACCCAGAGCACTCTGAAGCCTTGAAAATTCCAAAATAAGTAAGCTTTCAAGTACTGTCAAATAAAAATCGTTGAAGATTAAAAAAAAAAAAAAAAAAAGGCTTTATTCTAGATATGGAGTTGGCAGTAGTTTCTCTCTTGGTTATGTCATGTGGCCAGCATTGAGGCTGGCATGGACAGTGGACTGGCACCCTAATCCCTGGGAGAGGCAACTGGAATAGTAACTGCCTGAACAGATCTATTCCAAGTGAAGCTTTGGCAGGGAGGTGGGACTACTGAGGTGACCCTAACCCTCTCCTGTCCAGTCCCAGATTTCCATCTCTAATTTGCGCCTATAGATATGTGTTTATGATTTTCAGGTGTATGGATATTCTAGTGTGTAACTCCAGGGTTATGGAGGTTCGCCCCTGCTGTGGTAAAACCTTGGAATCTGCTTCTCAGTTACACTCAGGTCTCTTGATGCCACTCAGGCAATTGGAAATAGCTCTAAAGTTAATCACAATGTAATATCCATTTAAATCACCTTTATTGCTGCCAGAGCAGTCTGAAATTACCTTAAAAATATGAGTCAATTGACTTCTATTGATGGAATACTCTATAAGCAACCTGTAATTGTGGAGCTCTAGAGGGGGGTCTCTAATGGTGCTTGGGGTTGAGACCAAGGCATGAGGATGTCCTGTAGCAGCACAGCTTGAGACAATGAAAATGACCTTTCATTTTGTCAGCTGCAAATGTCCCATCATTTCCCTTTGACTTAGATGGAAACAGGCACTCTCAGTACACGTGGAAATTAGGTGGAGCAGGTCTTGGCACTGTCAGGCAGTACAAACCATGGTGCTTTTCTCAGATCTGCACCTCTTTTTATTCACTTGTAGTATGGTGGTAACAGTGGTTTAGAAGGTTGGTGAGACATCAAGCTCCAAAATTCTGGTCTATAAAGTGTAACACTATATGCAAAGAATGATTAAAATAACTAGCTGACCTTTGTTAACTCCTGAAAGTCTCCTTCAGGATTACTCAGTGCATGCTTCTGTGACATTTTTACAAGACAGTAATTTCAGTCATGTATATTCTCTGCCTTTTGTCCCAAATGGAATAATTCGTTAAATTTCATGTCCTTTTACTTTTTAGTCTTGTTGGAATTGAAATTATTCCAATGAAAATAGTGTTCAGATATGTTACTCTTTCTTCCTCCAAGAGGTTTATGCTTGCCATAAAGTTACTGGACTATGAATATCAATGTTCTTTGTAGCATTAAAAGTGAGTGTGATTCCTTCTCTCTTACTGGCTCACTTTCAAGGAATCTTGCTGAGTCTGACTGTGTAGTAGGACATGAGCAGGTCCCTGCTGGATAGCTGATTGGTTAAATAAAGGTTAGGCTGCTAGAGAAATGGGAATGGGCATTCTCACTTAGGAGGTGAACAAACTCTAGAGTAATACTCCTTACCATAATCCCAAGTCTCTTTCCACTTGTTAAAAAATATGTAGAAACAGTCTGTGTATAATTTAATACTTCACCTTTTGTAACTATTTTTGAAGCTACTGCTCATATTATTCTGTTAGTCTCTTTTCTATTATACACAAAATCACTAGGCAAAATATTAGTTAGTAAAAGTGACTACAAGAAGAATGTTTTTCCTAATTCTGACATCTCATGTTAAATATTTGACATTAAAGAAGTAAACTATTTGCAAGGATTATTCATAATTAAAGTATACTAAAATGTCTTATATGAAAGTGAACTTGTACAGGCAGCTATGGTCTAATTCAGTCAGGTGTGAAATATTCTCTAAAACCTATTGATTTCAGTAAATTTTTATATATAATACTTAGAAGAAGTTTCCACCTATAGAACATATTCCATTACCACAGAGTTTGTTCTTACCTCTGATCAATGGGCTCATGTCTTAGAAGTTTACAGGTAAGGTTTCAGAAGCTGATGGCTTTAAAGATGACTTAGGGATTGTTTCCTCCATGAGTTAATACTGATACCTTGAAATCACGCATGTGATTTGAAAATTATATACATATGAGAGCATCTTCCTTTCCTCTCCAATCTTTCATGGATTTTTAAATTACAGCTACATATATATATGTATGTGTTGTGTATAGATGGGTGTATGTGTACATATACATACACATGTACACATATATGGCTGGGTGTGCATTGTCCCATTGGCCCCACATCCAAGAGATTAGCAGTACTGTAATGATTGGCATTTTTAATATCTCTTTCTGTAGAAATTCAAATTATAGTGCTTGTTACTAAGCTACAGAAAATGGGTAAACATTTCTAATTAGTCTTCTCAGTGTGTCAATCCACAGAAATTATCCATATCATGGGAAGATGCTACCAAGAAAAGAGTATTTTTTTTCTTTCCCTAGCTAGCTTTTCACTGTACATTTTTGCAGTTATATGATTTCACAAAGTAACCAATACCTTTGAAATATTATCTTTGCCTTGCTGCCTAAAGGCAATAAATGATGGGAGAGAAAAGTGTTAAAAGAAAGAATGTTGAAATAAACTTTATTTCTCCTTTCTTTATTTTTTCTACCCCCCTGCAAATAATCAAATGCAATATGAATATGATTAAATATATTGTCTAGAAAATGTTTTAACAAGTCTTAGATTTTCAGTTTTGTTGTTTTTCTCCATGGAAACAATATGATTCCTAATCTAGAAAAAAATCAGATAGCTAGCATCAAAGAAGAAAGATAGAATCTCAAACTGTTCCTGAGTGATTGCAAAATTATCTGTATTTATTATCGAATTTCATAAGAAATTAAACAATTTGAGTCCTTTTTTTTTCTTTTTCCACCTTTCCAGCATCTATTGCCATCACACTGAGCTGTGTTCTCCATTTCTTTTGGAAAACAAGACTCTGATTTTGCATAGGAAAATTAAAGACAAGGAAAAAGGCACAGTTAAAAACAGCAGTGCAAATGAAAACATCTCAAGTAATTCTTAAGTCTCTGATACTCAGCATACAGTAGCAGGATTTATATCAGCTCCACTTCCCTGACCTAGAAAGTATTGAAATCAGCTGATATTTGAAGTGAATAGGAAAAGAAATCACAATGTGTAATGGAGGTAAGCTAATCTAACACTCTAAAAAAGAAAAGAAACAAATATTGTCAGTGAGAAACTACTGATTCATTTTTTTCTTATAAACTCCTAATCTCCTGTAATCTCCTCCTGTCTCTGAGTCAGAAACAGCTTTTCTAATGAAAGCATGTAAATTCTCCTTATTGTTTTTGCCTTCAAGTATGTTGAGCTGCATCTCCACTTAGCAAAGCTTTTCTCACTCAGTGGAAAAGAGATGCAAAAAATCCAGTTCAGTCTTTGAGGCAAGGAATCTTTTGATCCTGTTCATGCTGTACACTCTGAAGTTTAATGGGTCAAAACTAAAATGGGGAATAGAACTTGGGTGGATTTCAGAGTGTGATTCTTCTAGTTCCTTTTCCTTACTTACTTTCTTTCCTGTCTTAGTTTTGGGACATTAACTAACTGCTTCAGAAAGACCCTCTCGACTGCTCTATTGCTCATGCAGTTGTCTTCTCTTTTGAGAACACCTTGTGCCTTACAGACTTGCAGCAGGCATTGAACAACCTGCGCAGTTTGTGTGACTGAAGTGGGAAATGGTGACAAGGTTCAGGTATAGTTACTTTTAACACATCAGGAGCAGGAAAGAAAGTCACGTTAGGAAGTGTGGGAGACAGCTTTGTGGAGGAGAAAAGTGACTGTGAGTGAGGATTGTTCCCAGTCTAGCTCTGGTTCACAGCCATTATGTGGCAGATAGCATGTATGTCTTCTAAATATAATTTCAAGGAACTGTTGCAGTTGGCCCCTGAAATCTTATGGTATTTACTGAGTGAGGGACCAGAGACAGTTTGATCAGAGATGATGAATATAAAAGAAATTTACCCCAGCTGCCTTAAATGGAAAGCTGGCTTTGGTACCATGAGTGGGCAGGGTTGGGGTGACAGGAGATCTGTCAGCTTATTTATCTAAAGAGAGAGACTTCTGTTGTAAGAAATCACTCTACTCACTTAGATGTTTCTTCGCTGTAAGCACACTTCACAGAAAATAGGAGTGCTGATTAGTGTTTTCATGTCAAATCCAGTACTAA